GTTCTAGTGGTTTTTGGTTATTTTAATAAAAAAAATCTTACATATTGTGCCTTTAATTCAAAAATATATTAATAAATATTGATAATTCACACTTATCTATACCATTTTCCCAACAAATATGCTTTAGATTTTTTGCACCCTTTTTTTTTTGTTTGTTTGGCTGAAAATTTCCCCCTTTGAAACCTATGTTGTACAAAATATGGTTGATGAAATCATGTTAATTTAGACATTTTAAACATTTCATTTTTCATGTATTGTTTACATATATTGCTTCATAAATAGTGTTACAATTGCTCCCAAACTTACAGTTGTGAGAAAATATCACCTGATAAAGTGTTTGCATCTATTATAGATAATCAGATATGTGTAAATATCTACATGCTTTAGATAGCAGAATTATATATTCTTATATCTCTCAGAAAAAGCGTCATCACTCCGGTTTGTTTATTTCCCATAATGGCCATAAAAGAATGCATTGTTCTATCTACAGTACATTCATTTTAAAATAATTAGTCTTTGCAAAAGATTGATTAGCTCTAATAGCCCCCATGGGATAGACTCTGTTACATAAATCATTGATCCAAGCACTTGTATTTTCCATAATTAATTCCCTTTAGTTCTCCCGAGTGCAAACATGACATCACACCACAATTAGTTCAAAAAGAGTGATCTAATGTATGAGTATTTAAAACATTATATGAGTAAATGTTATGTTTGCCTTTCTCCTTATCCTGTGGTCTAGCAGCTGAAAGCATGAGTCTTCTGTGGGCTTATTCTCATATCATTGATTCCTTCTAGACTGGGTGAATGGCCTTGTATGAATCAGAAACCTTCCCTGACTCACCTGCAATGAGACAAGAGCAACATCAATGCGCAAAAAGCACTAAAATGGACATATTTTTCCTAATGCTCAGCCGGCTAATCAATTCGTGAGACCATTGTTGATCCTTTGCGGAACGACAAGGAAGATTCGATTGATTTTAGGCTTGTTATATGGCCCAACAAAGAGCTGATCCATGAAAAGTAAAGCATGAACCAAACAGAATTACTCTATTATTACAATTCAATAGTTTTGTCTTGTTAATCAATCAGCCATTCAGTCATTAGCACATGGTTATGAATATAAGGCCCAGTACTTGGTGTGGTGCTCCCCGGCTGCATAATTAACACATAATTTCCCAAATGATTTAATGAGCAGGGATTATTTAATAATTCAGACAGAAATGAAATTTCTGGCATTCGCAGAAGGAAAGAGAGGAGCAAATGGAGCACATTCAAGCTCAAACAAGGCTTGGTGTATATTGTACTTTTTTGCAGTAAGACAAAAAAGCACTTTTCTGAATGTTTTTAAATCAGAGCCAATAAAAACAATTATTAGACAACACAATTAAGAAGGGAATTTCAACGTCTTCAACATTTCAACACGTGAATTTGAAAAGCATTATAATATAAATATCTGAATTGATGATAGCTTATGGAAAGTGACACAGGCCCTCAATTCTGAGGCATTAATTAGCACTCAGGTCAAGGACACGGGCTCTTTAATTTGTGGAGAAATTATACAGGTCAAAGAGGGTCAGCAAAGGGACACGATAGTGCACATTACAATTTTAAATATAGAAATATAGCTGCAAGCAGCAATCATCATGGTTGAAGCACATGGCTCAGGTGGACAATATGTACACCAGTGGCTCATGTGCCATGTATCCTTCGAAATAATGTTGTTGTTGTTTTTTAAGTTAGGGTTTGATGAAACGACTCACTCAAACAAACAAGCAAATATCAGCCAGTCAAACTAAAAGAAAAACATTAGAAAACCTATACATTGTAATGTGGAAAACCTATATATTATGTGGACAACATTGATATTGCAGACCCTCATCTGTCCTTCAAACTGAGACAGATACATTTTGTATACAATAAATAAATAAATAAAAATAAAAACAAGATATACATTTTGAAGTTAGGGCTGTGAATCTTAGACAGCGAGAATTTGATTCGATTCGATTAACGATTCGATTCTGCATTCTTTGTGCATTCCCAGGATTATTTAAATGCTTCCCCTAAATTCTTTAAATGCTTAGGCAGGGTGCAAATTACACAGCAGCCTTTATGGTTAGAGAACCATAGGTTAGAAAAACAACAACAACAAAAAAACACTTGTCTATTGTTAGATGCTAGTTTAATGATGATATGGCATGACATAACATATGTAGAAATTTATGTAAGCCAAGATTTTAAAAAAAGAGCTTTAAAAGTATTTTGTCACACCAGGGGCGTAGCCATCATTTCAGAAGTGACAGAAATGTCATATACAATAATTTTATGTATGTTTGTATTATTTTTTTTTACAAGGAATTATTTTATTATCTCTTACTTTGAATTTGCTAAGATATCAAATACACTGCTGGAAAATAATCAATCATTTGTAATCTATAATTTTTTCCTAATGGCAATTTTATGATTGTTTTATATACTACAAGCAATCAATTTTCTGCACAGAATAAGGTAGAAAATAGCCTGGCACGTCTTAAGTTCTATGAGCGCGAGATCACTTCTCTTTCAGTGCGAAAACTTCTTTATCTCATTTTCATAAAATAAAACGCTATAGTATTTAACTTTTCCTCTCCATCGGCGAATGATGATTCCGAGAGAAAACGCGCCGGATGTCTGTTTGCTATAGCAACGAACGCTTTCATGCATCTGGTTATCAGATAAACCTCGCGCTCTTATTTCAAGGTTGTTGTTCATGCTGTGGTTATTTTAACAGTTTTCTTCGTACATACGGTTCAACGACATTGTTAAAACACATTTATCATTCAACGGAACTGTGCGTATGCTTTAGACACTTACATTTTTGCTTCGTCCATGCAATAAATGCGCAGCCTTCGACTGCTCAGGTAATGTCGTCGTCGGTATGACCGAGAGCCATTGAAAAACTACAGAAAAGTAAAACTACTTCACTTTAGCATTACTGGCCACGCATCTGATTATCAGATAAACCTTGCGCTCTTATTTCAAGGTTGTTGTTAATGCTGTGGTTATTTTAACAGTTTCCTTCGTACATTCGGTTCAACGACATTGTTAAAACACATTTATCATTCAATGGAACTGTGCGTATGCTTTAGAGTCTTACATTTTTGCTCCGTCCATGCAATAAATGCGCAGCCTTCGACTGCTCAGGTAATGTCGTCGTCGGTATGACCGAGAGCCATTGAAAAACTACAGAAAAGTAAAACTACTTCCCTTTAGCATTACTGGCCACGAGTACTAAGGAGAGATCACACATCAGCTGCTCAAAAAACGTGTCAGTGAGACGAACTGAGCGCGAGCTCAATCCTGTGACTGCAGGCGGTAAATAGTGCAGCGCGTGAAGTAGAGATGCGAGGCACGAACACTGTCCAAGGTCTCCATTCATTTGTGCTTGTAGTAATTTAATGTGTATATATTTTGAAAGCATTGAATCGCTATAGAAATCGCGATTCGTTCGATTCTTGGAGTTTTAAATCGATTACTGTCCGAAATCGACGATTCAGATTCAAAAATCCATGTTTCAAGATCGATGCATTGCATTGTCAGGGCTTGTAATCCATGCATGGAGAAAACGAGTGAATCATTACACCCCTATTTAAATATATCATGACCCAAGGATTTGTAGGAAATAAAATATTTTATGCTAACAAACACTGATGCAAATTTAGGTTATTAGCAAAATTGTAAATTCACTTATAGTACCACAAAGCTGCATAAAGATACAAATTAAATAAACAGTTCTTTACGGTTTTTTTTTCTTTAGGTACAATGAGTCTATTTAACAGTAGCATTCAAGTAATACAAAAAAAGTTTAAGTCATATAAAAATAAAATAGTCTTCATTGTGTGAATTACATATACATGGATTCTTATTAAAGCTTCTAAATTCATTCAGACAAGAGCAACTGAGTGATTTTGTCATCATTACGGACACAGACAGCAGCAGGTATTTTAGGCTGCTGTCACTTTAATTACCAACTACCCACTGTGTTTACGAGAATACAAAAGGGGCTCCATTTTCTCATATTTCCTTATCGCTTTAAGGTGTCATAAAATTTATAAAACTGCTATATTTACAACCCGCAATGTACACGATACAACAAATTATATCATTAAGTTCGTACCAAATATCATTAGATATGAATGCTATTGTTCGAAAAGACCACGTGACGCATTCCATTCTCTTCTGCTTTTTTTTTTTTGCATTGCATTCTGCTCGAGCGTTTATGACGACACAATTCACTTATTACAGTATTTAAAGGCATGCAAATCACTTGCACATTTTGTGGGTTGAAGTGTTGGGAGTATTTGATAGCGACTATTAGCGAGGGGCAAACTGTGATATCATGGGACTGCTTTCAAGACTAAAAAAAGTGACTGGTTTGGAGTGTGTACGCGAGCCCTATGTACAAACCAAAGACTCCCCCACCAGCTCGGAGAACCGTCAACCTAATCCGTCTGATGCTGCTGAGACTGCTGGAGGGAGAATAAGAGAAGAATAATAAGAGCTTCTGGAAGTGGCCTGCTCTTCACTTTCCTTGCCGCAGACCTGGAACATATGACCTGGTCAAAGCTGAGAAGAAATGCGGGATAGAGGCGGGAACATATCAGAGACATAGCGATGTACAATCACATCAACATCATGATGCAAATATTGATAAATGACAAATTCTTCAATTACAGGAACTTCTGTTATTCTTCCTTTTAAGAAAAAGAAAAAAAAAACTGTCCCATCACTATCGTCCAAAACATTAAGTAAGTTTAAAGTAAGTTTAAATATCAGAAACTGAATTAAAGATTTTTGATCTGAACTTTGTTAGATGTCATTACCGGAAATAAATTGATTTACATTGTTTAGAGAAGTTTAGGATATCAATTCAAAACTGCCCCAAAATGAAGAACTACAAGAATTTGAGTATGTAACAGTTAATATTTTATTCATATTATTTTTTATTTAATTCATATAACAGCTCCAGCTCTTGAAGTCCTCCCCGCTGCTGAGGAACAGCAGAAGCAGGATGTCCTGGACAAGGGTAAGAATAAGAAATCCATGAGAATTAGAAAAGGTAATTATAAATTATAAAATCAATCAAATACATATATAAAATTGAATTTCATAACTACAATTGTTTGTCTGTTAATAGGCCAGTGTGCACGAACCCGGTGTACTTTACCCCATCACGTCAGAGAACAGTCATCCTAATCTGCCTGATGAGGCGCCTGTTGGTGGTGTTGAGACTGATGGAGGGAGAACGGAGGCAGGGAGAGAGAAAGTCCTCCTCACTGCTGAGGAACGGCTTGTGCAGGACATCCTGGACAAGGGTAAGAATAAGAAATCTATGAGAATTAGAAAATGATATTATAAACCATTATTATATATAGAGTACAATATAAAGTGGCATTTCATACTAACCACAATTGTTTGTCTGTTATTAGGCCACATTCACAAGCAGTATAAAATCAGCTGCAAGATGGTGAAGGAGGATGTGGGACTCGCTGCAAGGATGGACTTAAGGTTTAAATTTTCTTCACTTAAAAACTTTGCACATCTCTTCAGGATTTATGATTGGAGTGATATCAACTATCTGCACATGCTAATTGTTAATTCTTTGTTTTGTTGATTAGGTGGCTGTGAAATGTTCAAGGAAGATGCCAAACATGCCATCTATCAGAGTGGTGAGTAGGCTGCACTCTCTATGTTATTTCCTCTTAGTCACCGTTTTCAGTTTATCACATCTTATATTGATGTTAATCACAGACTACAAATGAGCTTTCAGTAGGCAACCTGTTTTGATTTGTGAACCAAGTCATTATTTGGGAAACTGCCTCTTTCTTTTAGCCTGGTCATCCCAAACGCCTTCCCATGGAGATTGGCCTGATGCTCATGGCCAATAAGGGCCCCAGCGTTCCTCAGATCATTAAGCTGCTTGACTGGGAGGATGACACAGACCACTATGTGATGGTCATGGAGTGCCCCATTCCTTGCATGGACTTGTTTAGTTTTGTGGATCACCATAGAGGAAGCCTTGACGAGGGGACAGCACAAAATATTATGCAGCAGGTCATTGATGCCGCTAAAACTTGCTGTAAGCGTGGCATCTTCCATCGTGATTTAAAATTGGAGAACCTTCTGGTGAATGAGGACACCATGGAGGTCAAATTAATCGACTTCGGGTGCGTTGCGCTCATGAAGAAATCTGCCTTCAAAGTCTTCCATGGTATGTGTTATGAACTGCTTTGTTAATTATCTCACAGAAACACATCCTATATATATACTCAACATGCTGTGATAATGTATTAAACATCAGACATCTTTCCTGCAGGCACAAGAGTGTACTGTCCACCCGAGTTCTACTTGAAGGGCAGGTACCACGCAAAACCGACGACAGTGTGGACTGTAGGGTTCATCCTGTATGAAATGCTGTGTGGAGAATATCCTACATCCTACGACCGACACATGATCACTGTGAACCTCTGGACCAGACCTGGCTTGTCAAAAGGTGAGATCTTCATCAAACAACAAAGAACTCTAAATCATACAAAAAGGACCAATAGCTTCAAAGAGAGCAGGTGTAAAGTATAAGTTTATAATCAAATGTCTTTCTCGTCTTTTTGCACAGAATGCTGCCAGATGATTTGTGATTGCCTACAGCCCAAGCCACAGGAGAGACTCAGTCTGGACAAGATGCATGACTCCATGACGTTTTGTTGGTTTAGTTTGATCATCAGTCATCATTAACTTAAAGTCAATTTTTCTCTAAATGTAATGTATTTAGACAAATAATGCTGATTTATCTTTTTGTTTCAGGTCACGGAGTAAGACACAAAGAACCTCAGAAAACAACTCCTGTCACGGCCACCCTGTTGTTTTCTTCAGTCAGCTTTGCGTCTGGCGGGCTGACAAGAGTGGCCTTTCCATCAGTCCATTCAGGCCTTAGCGTCTTGCGGGCCCTGCAAGTCCTGGTAGCATCTGGCACCTTGACTTGAAGCAGCAATACTTGCATATTGTTGTTTGGGGATCTGTAAATAATAGTTAATTTCTTATTTGTATTCGTTTCTTTATTATAATGAGTTTTGTAAGAAAATTTATAAGGAATTTTGTAAGAAAATGTGTAAGAAAATGTATTAAGAATTTTTAAAAGAAAATGTATAAAGAGTTTTGTAAGAAGATGTATAATAAATTTAGATTGTATTTATATTGTGTTGTTCCCTTGTAGAGTTTCATAGTACATTCACCTGCAGTACTTTAGGCTCCTGCAAAAGTCATTTTGGCATGTTTCCTCAGATTGTTGTGTTGTACATGTGTACATAGGTTTTGTAAAAGTTTTGACATTATATTCACAAGATTAGTCATTGTGTGTCACACTCAAATATATCAGCCTATATCTCCACAAACATTAAACAAGAATTCTTGTGCTCACTTTTGCAAATTGAATTTTGTGCCAAATCAGACAAGTGGCCTAGGACAAGTTCGAAAACTGGGGAAACTGGCAGACAAAATTAAATGTAAGGGATAATCAACGGTTTGCCGTGCATTAACGTGGAGGCAAAGAACCACCCGACGCGAAATGCATTTAAAATCCTTTAATGCATGGCAAACCGTTGATTATCCCGCTTATTCCATGGTCATTTGCCAAGTTATAGACAAGTTAAAACTAGTATTGCTTTTTACAGCGCAATATTTGACCGAATGGGTAAAAATGCGGTTATTTTCGTCAGTTACGGCTAGCTCTAGCATTCTGCCCGCTTTAAATCAGACAGAGATGAACTAGTGCGGGAAGATCACATTTATTTGAATGAATTATAGCATTTATTTGAATGAATTATCGATTGTTTGATCGAGAGAGAAAGATGACAGTTGTGTGTGTGTGTGTGTGTGTGTGAATTACCTGCTTCGTCTGTGCGTCTCTCTCTACAAACATTGAAGTTGTGATTTTAGTTACTCAAAGGTGACATATCATGAAAATCTGACTTTTCCAGGTTTTAAGTGCTATAATCAGGTCCCCGGTGCATCTACCAAAGAAGGAAATGTGTAAAAGATTAACCCCAGTAAAGCCGCGGTCACACTATTCTTCTTCTTCTTCTTCTTGGCTTTTAACGGCGGCTGGCAACCAGCGTAATTAGGTGCATTACCGCCACCTTCTGCTCCGGAGTGTGGAACAGGGAGTTACATTCTACTTATTAACCCCGTCCTTTTAAGAAAATTAAAGAAAGCTTTACTATTTATTTCACCTGCCCATTTTATTAAAGATTTAAAATGTACCACCTGAATTCCATTCTTCTTGATTTCAACTATCATATTACTTCTTTCTTACTCATATTTTTCTTACATTCAAGAATTGCATGGGTTACTGTTTCTTCTACTTTGCATTGTTCACATAGTCCATTTGGATGCTTCCCTAATATTTTGAGTGTACTATTAAGATTGGAATGTCCCAGCAATATTCTATTATAGACAATCTCTTCTTTCCTTGTTTTGGTCACACTATTTGTTCCATTGACTTCCATTCATACCCATGCGAATGCGTCAGACCGGAAACGCAAGCTCGTGCGAAAAGTTCGAATTCCAAACGGAAGTGAGCATCCCTATGCCATACTCCCTTCGAAGGGCAGAGCCCTTGAAGTGTGTTCTTTGAAGGGTGCAGGGCATTACTGTCTCCTATAAGTGATCACTACAGCAAAATTATAGTAGTATTAATACTAAATTCCTCTGATTTCATTTTCAATACAATCAAAAACTGAGACGCAAGCTGCATTTGAATGAAACGAGAGAGCACGTCCGCGCCTCCGCGGTGATACAAGAGACATGGGGCGAATTCCAAACAGAAGTGAGCATCCCTATGCCCTACTCCCTTCGAAGGGCAGAGCCCTTGAAGTGTGTTCTTTGAAGGGTGCAGGGTATTACTGTCTCGTATAAGCGTTTGAATCTCCCTTGGCGAAGGGAATGACTGACCAAATGTTACCTTGGCAACGCTGCGCGTGCGTGCAGCATTCTGTACTCCATCAGTTGTTGCAAATAAATATTTATTATTATTATTATCTAAGACTATAGAATAAAAGGACTTTGTTATTATTTTATTCAAATATTGTCTAATTGTGTCTTGTTTACTATTAAACGTTTTCAAACTAAACTTGCTTACACTTCCGTCTTAAATCATATTTCTGTCACTGACGAAAAATATGTTGTCTTACATTAAAATAGACAAATAATTAGCCTATTCTATTTATGTTTGAATGTGAACTCGAAATCAACCCCAACTTTGCTTTAAAAAGCATCACAAGATCTCCTAACCAAAGATCACATGATCACTAACGGAAATCACATTGTATATATATATTTTTTTGTGTGTGTGTGT